GAAACTAAATAAAAGACTACGGAGTCGACCCGTTCTACGGAACTGGGGAAGGACTTCTAGCTGACAAGCAATAAGCTTAAGTGTTCAGAAAAGCAACGCACAGAGTGCAAGTTCAAGCTAGGAGCTACTAGGTTCAGAGAACCAACGCACGAAGTGCACAAGAGAAGCAAGCCAGTATAGGCTTTTTCTCTACTGTAGGATTCAAAATGAAAACTGATTTTATTTACTCATTAAGATCTTTAGGAATAAACCTACCCTAAGTATCCTACACTAGATTTAATCACTATAATAGTAAACTTAATAATAGCTATTATATGATGCAGACTTCTTGATTGGATGACGTGTCATCCAAACATCTGTGTATGATATACTTAGTATGGCGATATCGTTTATCAAGTCCTACCCGATATGGTACGGTGTTACCGATACCGTACTTCCAAGCCCACAGTTTATACCTCCTCAAAGGAAAGTATAAGATATACAATGTGTGTAATATGTTGGTTTACAAACGTGACGTAACTTTAAATATATTTATCCAGCTATTTTGTAGCCTCGTTGCATGGGCACACACCCACGAGTTTCAGAAACGCTACCACTATGTGGCTTAGGGCTTGAAGGGGGAGGTCACCTCCAAGCTTGTGCCATCCTGTCATCTCCTGACTTTAGCGATGGGACAAGCTTGGAGGTGACCTCCCCCTGCAAGCTTGTGTCATCCTGACTTTAGCGATGGGATATGCAGTGATTCAGGCGCGAATTTTGGGCTTGATGATGTCGTCCCTGCTACCTTAAAAAACAGACTAGCGCGTTTTTTACGATGCGCATAAATGTCATACGACATGTGCGTGACTCAATGGCTGATAGCCAAGATAAGTTAATACAACAAGCGGATTCTAAAGGAAAAAGCTGTATTGAGTGTTATGAGGGTATCAGCTGACTTATAGACAAAGTTGCGCCTACGTTTTATGAAGCCGTTTACGGTCATGGCTAATAAGGTCCTGGCGTATTCACTGAAAATGCCGCGTAAAATGCGTACACACCCCGTGTTTTACGTTAAGCGACTTAGACATTATCAGGATCCGAGCCACGTGAATGTGGAGGCGCTTGCGCCAAGGAAGTCGGCGCTACCGTAGACCTTGGAATCCAAACTAGAAGATCCAGTTGTCCCTCCAACCGAGATTGTTGCTATTTTAATATATGTAGACGTGGCTGCGTCTGTACCAAAGTCTCACGGAGACTCTTCACCTCCTGCAATAAATCAGCGTGAGCTTCCGCCGATTCACCGGCCGCCACCAGAATTTCTCGATGAGCAGGGGAACCTTCAGTTCCATGTTTAAAAACTTCTCCGGAAGCGCCGTCTTCATGGTCAAAAACAATATCTGGTGAAGTGACGTGAATATTCCGCGTTTTGGAACTCATGAGAAGTTGAGGTATCTCTTCGGCAAGATTGCCCTTTCGTCGATGATGTTTTCGAATGTCGCGCTCAGGGTCATCTTGTGACCAATGGCGTTACTCACCCGTAGTAGTAAGGGCGGGCGATCTCACGACCTCGGCTTGTCCTGAAGTCGCGGCTACAGGAGTAGCCGAAGCACTTGAGTGCTGCGTAACAGATGCATATTGCGTTTGTTGTGACCGCAACTTGCCTTTGGCCTTCCGTTTATTGTAGCCGTAACGCATTTTCCGTTCGAGAAGAACGTCCGCCATGTCGACACTTGCTCGTAGAGCCCATATGCTGCTCAATCGTCGCGCATAGTGCGCCCAGCGGCTAAATGTCATATCCTCTTCCTCCTTGGTCACGCCCGCGAAGTAAAGAATGAAACCACTATAGAAGAGGAGCTGGTTCACCACGTGCTTGTCTAGTCATGCGTGCCAAGTATTGGCTTTGCGTGGTGGTCTGGGGTTCTAGATACCGTTGTAGAAGAGCCGTTCGCCTAGCGACATCCTCAGGTGAAGTGAATTCAACCCAATGACCTATCCTGATAGGTTCTGACCAAATACCTCCTTGAGGCGCTTTTACACATTGAGTGGCTTGAGCTTATGCTGCCGGTGGTCCTGAAGTCTAGTTGCATTCTTCGACCGGCGCTTTGCACCTTCCTATTGTGTCAAAGGTCCGTTGTTGTTGCTCATCGATCAGGTTGGTAACCGTCACCGTTGACAACTTTAGGCGGATCACGTAACGCTGTTAGCGCATCCGCAGCACCATATAGGGAACGGATTTGGTGTCATCTTCACACTCAAGTGTAATAAGTGGGGACCCATCGCGTCCTATGAAGACGGCGTCACTTTTGTAATCAGTTGCTTTGTCGAGATCTCCTTCAAGGAGATCCCGAAGAGTCTTTGACCCATTGCCAGGAGGCGTCATGTGTTCCGTGAGCAACCATGACGTTATAAGATCGCTAAAGCATTATCTCATAAAGGAAATGTGTCACATGACATTCTATAGGAACGTCAGTCTGGTGGGGGAGGTGTAACGGGGCTAAACGACGGTTGTATAAGTGTAACCCCGTTGCATCCTCCCCCAACGTGACATAAGGTAGTAAATATATGACGGTTTGATAAATATATATTTAAAGTTACGTCACGTTTGTAAACCAACATATTATACACATTGTATATCTTATACTTTCCTTTGAGGAGGTATAAACTGTGGGCTTGGAAGTACGGTATCGGTAACACCGTACCATATCGGGTAGGACTTGATAAACGATATCGCCATACTAAGTATATCATACACAGATGTTTGGATGACACGTCATCCAATCAAGAAGTCTGCATCATATAATAGCTATTATTAAGTTTACTATTATAGTGATTAAATCTAGTGTAGGATACTTAGGGTAGGTTTATTCCTAAAGATCTTAATGAGTAAATAAAATCAGTTTTCATTTTGAATCCTACAGTAGAGAAAAAGCCTATACTGGCTTGCTTCTCTTGTGCACTTCGTGCGTTGGTTCTCTGAACCTAGTAGCTCCTAGCTTGAACTTGCACTCTGTGCGTTGCTTTTCTGAACACTTAAGCTTATTGCTTGTCAGCTAGAAGTCCTTCCCCAGTTCCGTAGAACGGGTCGACTCCGTAGTCTTTTATTTAGTTTCATCGAACTAAGTGTCTCTTAGCCGTCCTTTATTCAGTTTTCTAGAATTGATTTACTTTCCCCCTTTTATAAAATTTCATCTGACCAAAGAGCTGTGTGTAGCTCCGCTACAGGCCAGGTCCGCATTTTTACTAAATTAATTCTCTTATGTACAATACACAAGCTCCGATAGGTTGTAACCTCTGCTAAGATTTAGATATAGTCGTCCACCGTACCCATAACTCAATGGAGGGAGCTCTATACCTAGCATTTCTTTATGAAGCGAGAAATACTGTACGTATGTCGTTTTTAAAATCTTACCGGAACCTGAATTTCGAGAAAACAAGAAACGTACTCTTCGCCGCCCTCTTTCATTCACCCAAAAGGAATTCACGAACTCCAAGCAACTTTTCGACTCCGTTAGCACTCGACTCGATGTCATTTCTTACCAGCAGATCTTTTGATAGTTGTAGACGGGCACTTCGAAAGAAGATGCCACGTGCTACTAGCACACACCTTCAAGCAGCGTGAGGAAGCGGTTAGAACGTCTTTCCTCCGCGTGGTGTTGGCCGCCGCTTAAAGCGCCGTCCCAATCTGTTTCCGGCCGCTAGAGCGATCTGCGCAACGAAAAACTAACGAGTACCTCACTTACTTCACGCAAAAGCTTATTCAGCTTCTCGTGCGCAGTGAAAGGTAGTTAGTAAATTCAAGACTGACTTCTGTTTCAATAAAATGTAGCTAAATATAGATCTAACCACTGATTGATTGAATGTAAAGATCAGATACGCATCTCTTTGGAAGCGTATCCTTACGTGCGAGCTTAAAATATATTTAAGCTCGCTGATGACGTCTGTTTGAAGCGTCACCATGACGCCCAGTCCCAGCTGTCGTGAATGTGAATCCATCCATGGATATTACATTCACGAGGGTGGGTCACATTGATGTGCCACACCCAAGTGGCAGGTCTAAGGTACCACGTACCCTTTCAGGCCTAGCCGTTAGGTATTCAATACTTAACGAACCGTGTAATTTTTAGCCCGTTACACTAGTTATTTGACAAATTGGAGACTGAAAGCCAATCAAATTATACTTGAGTCATGCAAAAAGGGGTGCTGGATCGGTTTTAAGGCGCATCCTATAATCACAGAGAAAAATGTCGATTCTATTATTATCCCCATTAATTTAACAATGGAAATACCAAATACTGCCTTTGGGTCCATTAAAGCAAAAAAAGGGACTCGAACCCTCAACATTAACCTTGGCAAGGTTATACTCTACCATTGAGCTATTTTTGCAAATAATTTATTTTTTTAAAATAAAAACTGAATTTAACAATAAAAATAATTCATTATTATTTTTTACATTTGTATGAATAGACACATCAATTGGTGTTATATTTTTAAATTTTAAAAATTTATTTTTTTTAAATTTGGTAGAATAAAAATTATAATTTTTTCTAAAAAAAAAAAAATTTTTTTTTCGTAAGGTTATTCCACAGCGTTTATGTGTCAATGGTCCATGCAACGCTACTTGTGTCGAAGATTAGCCGTTAAAACGATGTTGACTGTAATTAAAAAGACCACATTGATGGCCTATTGACAAGCAGGCGCTCTAACGGATCGAGGCTGCTTGATGGATGGTGTGCGCTGCAGTACAGTGCACCACTGCATTACAAAGGTAATTCGAGAGGAAGAATCAAAACAGGTTGTTCAATCTCTGCACTATAATGGAGTATCTTTTCTTACTCGAAGTGAGCGATACTATTCAAAGAAGTCAGTGCAAAGCTTCGCGACATTAGAAACGTTGAATTATATGTTTATCGTTTCTTCAAGTCTTTCTTTCCTATAAAGCATACACCTTAATCGATTGCCTTTTCACCATCCGTGAAGGATAAATAGCACGGATCTAGATGGTGCCAAGTTGGGTTAGCGTCTTAGTTATCCATTGTGCTGATCGTTGTTGGATCAACCTTGCGTAAAAGATCGAGCAATTGATTCATATCGTTCGACTCTTGGGACTCCATTGTAGACGAACGCAGCGAACTTCTGTAGGAATTACCGTCCGTCGAGCCCGTCGGCTCCGGGCAACCAAAACGAGCCTCCATGTTCTCGCGCCACGATTCATACTGAATTGATTGCGACCTGTTGTTGATGGCGTCCACGATAGTCTTACAACGTGGTTCCTTGACTTTCCAAAGGGCCTTGAACTCGGGTGAGTAGTCCTTCGTTCCACCTAAACATTGGTCCTCAAACATGCAAGCTTGGCGCTCAATGTCGTCCATGTTTTCGTGCGAATCGCCACCCATGGCGTCGAGAGTCGCGTCGTACCAGTCCACCATACGTTTCTCCGACTTATCTGAGCAATAGGCTTCTCTCGGCGTATCAGCATCGATCGGGTTGCCCGATCCGTCAACAATGACGACATCCTTGTGGCCGTCATCCTCACCAGTGTAATCTGTCTCTGGGAAATTGTTCTGCGAGGCGTGGTTGTTTCCATTTCCACTATCGGCATCTACAGCGACGCCGCACATAACCGATGTCGAACTGGTGTTTGTCGCAGCCGTCTCCTTCAGCCTACGAGATGTCGGCGAGGCATCGCACTGACTGTACATTGTTGCTATCTGGCCGGTGATAGCGTATCCGTAGCTGCTCGTGCCAAGGTCGCGAATATCCATTAGACCAGCAAATTGGTTCGGGACTCCTGCGAAAAACCTGCCCAATAGAGGGTCACTCGATCCTGGGATCGAATTGATGCCCTCCTCACCGGGTCGCATGGTTAGCGTGTCGGTCGGACGAAAAATGCCCGAGTCACGACGAGCGCACGACATCCAAGCAACAGGATGTGATGCCTTCTGCTCGAAAGTAAGACGGTTCGTTCCGACACGGCACTTGTGGAAGACCACGTGCAGCAAGTCGACTGTAGCGTGGTGCGACCAAAAGATTGGGTCGGCAGGAGATGCAAAAGTGCCCATGGTACCGTCCAAGTTGGCGTGCACATTGTTGTGGCAGCCTCGCTCGACCAGTGACGCCATCTCGCCGATGTTGGCACCGTTAAAGACTTGCGCTCGAACGGAAGCATAGCTCGCACTGCTAGGCACTCGGACTGTCGACCAGTCACTGCGAGGAACACACCGGGCACACGCAGTACCCGTAAGCGAACTACGTTCGCAAAAGCGATCCAGAGGGGGAGTATTAATGCATCGTCCCGAGTTGTCAACACCGTTGATGTTTAATGTACGTTGTGTGCCACTGGTGAAGCCACCCAGCTCTCTTGTGATGTCCAAGCAGTTGCCAAACGAATTACAAGCGCCCGAAGTGACTCGTGCACTCGCAACGATCCAATTGAAGTACGGCACGGTGACACATGCGTAGGCAGCACCTTGGCCACGAAGCATGTTCTCGAAAGCAATTAGCAGCAAACGGTGCCAGTAGATGAACATACACTGTTGATGAGCTTCCATCTCGGATCTCATTTCCGTGTGCATTTCGACGAATTTGATATAGGCACCCGAGTCCATGGAAGCACGGATGGCATTCTGGTACGTCGTCTTCTCCGTCGCTGTCAGCATGTCCCAATCCTTACGGAGACGGGAACCACAGGCTTGAGCTTCAACATGAGCCAGTCTTGAAATTAACGCCAATAACGCAACACTCAAAATCCACAGGAGCTTCATGGTGAGCTGAAATCAAAAGTCGAGGATTGCAATTAGGCAGTAGACAAGAAAAAAGGGAATGAGGTCTACGTTGGACCCTGCACCCGCCAGCTCCGATGTCCGTGTAGCAGTTTCGCATGGATTTTACTTGAAATATTTTCCGATCCATTAGGGCAGAGCTGTTGTGGTAACGCACGTCTGTTCGCTAGAAGTGATTCGAGCTAGTGGTACGTTGACCGGTTCTCTATATTCTTCAATCTATAGCACAGTTGGTAGAGTCTTAAAACTCGAGACGTTAGTTTACAAAGTGCTACACTTCATCAAGTAAGAGGACAGGCTGCAACGAGAGCACCTTTTCGCTGAGATGGCTTCTTGACAGGCAACACATTCGACTTCAAATGTCTCACAAAGTGTTAGCAGAGGATCTTAGGCACATGGCCATGAAAGCTCAAATGGAGAGGTCGGTTGTGTACAACACCAGTGATGTCTTGAGAGTTGAAATGTGTTACGTGTTACACCCACGTAACACATTTCAACTCTCAAGTCTTTTTTAAAGCTAATCTATCGCGTTCACGCCGATATTTGACCAAGTAGATGGGTGTCATCTTTCGTTTCCATGCATATGTATATGAATTGTAGAAAAGAAATATGCGTGCGTTTGCTGCATACACATGCGTACATGTACTACGTTTTTTTGCAAAAATTTCTGACTTAATGCAGCTTTGGCATCCAACAGCTGTATAACTGTATCAAGTATAGTACCCTACCGAAACTTGGGAGCACTTAAGTTAGTCGAAGACACTGCAACGAACTTCTGATTCGTCCAGCAAACCAGTATTTGTAGTACAGTATATCTCATGTGTAAAAGGAGGCTTTTTTAATCGTGTTCCATACTGATAGCAAATCGGTTTCAGTTTCTGTTCCCTTTAGATAATATTTTAAGTAACTCGAAAACGGTAAAGAAACTAAAATGGACATTCTTTTTGTGTACCACTGTTTTACGTCTAAAATCGTGCTTTTTGCAAAAAGAATTTGATTACTGTAACCCGTTTCAAAAAAAAGATGGTTTAAAAACGCCCGGTCGGCGTTTTAAAACACCAAGAGTTTTTTTTATGAAAAACACCCCAAAAAGTGGCACAAAGTCTTTATATTTTCATAAAAAAAAGCAGAATGATGGTCAGCCTTTGTCTTATTCCAAATCATGTACTGCAACACTAGATCCCTCTGTCTCCTTTTATTAGTGACACGTCACTCAAGTCAATAGTTAATGGAGCGATACGAACGAGGTGATGTCTTGGGTGAAGGTACATTTGGTATCGTGTACGCTGCTGTACAGAAAAGTACAGGACGTCCCGTCGCTATAAAACATTTTAAACGTGGTAAATTTAAAGACGGGGTTAATTTTACAGCTTTACGTGAAGTGAAGCTACAAGCTGAGCTTAAACACGTGAATGTCGCGGAACTTTTGGATGTTTTTGTTGCTCATGATACAATGAACCTTGTATTTGAATTATTACCAAATAATCTGGATAATGTCATTAAGGATAAAACCGTGGTATTGACAGCTGCTGATATCAAGATGTACATGCAGATGTTACTACAAGGTCTTGCCTATTGTCACGAACATTACGTATTACATCGTGATCTCAAGCCCGATAACTTGCTCATTGGACCTGATGGTCATGTAAAGCTTGGAGATTTTGGTCTTGCTCGAGTGTTTGGAAGCCCTAATCGCAATATGACGTCCATGGTATGTACTATTTGGTACCGTCCACCAGAACTGCTCTTTGGAGCGAGAGAGTATAGTGGATCAGTGGATATGTGGGGTGCTGGCTGTATTTTCGCGGAACTTATGCTACGGATGCCGTATCTGACGGGATTGAATGAGCTGGATCAGTTAGGAAAAATCTTTCATGCACTTGGGACTCCGACAGAGGAAGACTGGCCTGGTGTAAGCTCGTTGGCCAATTTTGTCGAGTTTACACCGAGCACAGCTCCATCATTGGCATCCATTTTCTCAGCGGCATCAGAGGATGCATTGGATCTGCTGGGCAAGTTATTAAAGTACAACCCAGCGGAACGGATCACTGCAGCTGAAGCGTTGAAGCACCCATATTTTACAAACTCGCCGGCACCCACGCCGGTCGAGAAGCTGCCGTCCACGCCTTCACCGTCGCAAAGCTTAAATACCAGAACATAATTTCAAACACGGAAAACAACAATGAGTGCACACATTCACTTGGGTTTGTGCTACTCGGGATTGAAGAGATCTCGGAGATTTTTGGTAACCTCCATCCAACACCAGTGCATCGTCTATTGTACATGCAAAAAAGTAACAAAACGTTTGTTCCCCTTACTGTCAGGAGATATTCTCCGTGGTTCTTGCAGGGTGGTCTTTAGCATAAATGCTGATGAAATTATTGCATATGTGCTATATTGCTGGTTCTTAAAACTTGCCCGGACGCTTTCTGCCCGTAAATTTGCTATCCGTCTTGACCTTCTTGCCCTGCTTACGGTAGCGTTCCTTCTTTGCCAGTACCCAGTCCCTACAAAGACAGCAGCGAAGCACCCCCAAGTAAGCTACTGCCCGCCCGTAAGGCCAAATCACAACGTACTTGGCTTTAACAGATTCCCGTCCCTTTCCTCGGCGTTGCTGTGCATCCAACAGTGCAATCAGTCGCATTATAATTATTGCACACAGCCAGAAACTTAAGCGTCACACACAAAAATATCAAAAAAACATACGCGTTCGTTCCTGGCGCGTCCTTCATTCGAGATCTGGTTCGTCGTGGCTCCTGTGCCGAGGCCTTGAGGGACTTGCTGCTGCTGCATGTATCCAGCAAAAAGACAAAGGTAGAACTTCTTGGCCTTGGTACTGTTCGGAAAATCAATCACAAGTCCACCCGAAAAGCCGCAGCGCATGGCAGTAGCCGAGATCTCCTCCATCTGCTCCGGTGTCTCCGGATAGAGCTGCAGCACCGCTCGACTGCCAGTCTTCAAGCACGTGTACAAGGACGTAAAAAAGCGCGTAAGACGCTTCCGAGCCGTTTGCTCCTTTTTGTCCGAATAGCAGAGCCACTGCACAGCCGAAATACTGATACAGCCGTCGAAAACCCCGGGACGAAAGGGCAGACCTCCACCCATATCCTGTAAAAAGACATCTCCACTACTATCACGCTCTGAAGCAATGTCCAGCATGTCTTTACTGATGTCTATGCCAACCCATGCATGACCATGTTCCTCCAGTGCAACTAAATGCAGTAAAACAACACTAGTCAGCTAACAAAAGACAATAATTACCGTAAACCCCCGCACAAACTCGTCGTATACAAACCTCCACTAAGACCACTACCACACCCGACATCAAGAATGAATGCCTCTTGGCCTTCGGGTAAATTTAATAATTCAATGGCACGATTTGACAATTCTTCCTGCACTTTGATAATACGTGAGCTGGAATTGTACTTGGCTGCTTCTTTTGTATCATAGAAATACTATAGACATGGATACATTAGTATTATGGACATGATGGTATCAGAATAGAAAATGATACAAAAAAGAGCTCGAAAGACACGAACCTCTGGTGGTGCAATGTGCTCGGGCCGACTCATTTGGTGGTATGCCCTTAAAATAATGCCATCCACCCGACTAGCACAGCATAAGTTGCTCCTTTGTTGCAACTTCTATGTTATGTTGCACAAGACTGATTCTACTACGTGACGCTTCACACTCTTGATTTCACGCTCTTGTCACACATTTCGTCACCGAATAAAAAGAATAACGTTCGTACTTAGTGTAATATACGCCTCGACTCTCCCGTGTAAGTTCATATCGGTTATGGACGACTCTAACAGTGATATTTCGGCACCAAGCACGTTAAGTTCCGTCTCGGGGTTTTCAAGTGATGCGTCTTCATTTTTGTATGGTGGTGGCTATGCCCATGCACCAAATGTTCGTCCAGTCCCACTGTCTTCCGAGACGACGTTACGTCCGAATTTCATGTCGAGCTCGACCGAAGAGAACGGACCGACTGGTGTTCCACGAACCCGACCAATGCGTGTCAGTGAAAGTGACGTGAACGAGTCACCGGATGCAGCTTTTCGACACTTTCGTACCCCCGTGACCGACCGTGGAGTACCTTTTTCAACTACAAAAGCTAGTCACAGCTTTACCGTTTTACGGTCGAGTATCGCAATGCAGTATGATTGGTATCATGGTCGCCATTCTAGGGGGTACAATTTTAGGTGGATTTTTAAAGCATTGGAAGCTTGATACGACAATTGCACAATGGATTATGACACCTGGGAACCTTTTTGTCCGGGCACTACAATGTGTCGTGGTCCCCATGATGTTTGTCAATCTTGTGGTTGCTACGGCAAATATGACGGACAAACATCTAAACAAACGTCAAAGTGGTTGTATTATTTTTATTGTACTAGTATCAACTACTTTAGCTATTGTACTAGGACAGACTACTGCTGTCATTATGCACTCGGTCTTTAGGTCATATCAAAAGGAAAAAGCTACGAAGAATACGGATGCTATCTTTGGTATTCAATGTGGAAATGGTAAATATCTGGAAGCAAGTGATGACGGTGTAGTGACTTGCTCTGCGATGGAAATCTCGGATACGTCAAAGTTTGCTATGGATGATATTAATAACGCACTAGCGCGGAATGAAGCACGGACGGGAACGAAAACCACGCTGTCAGATAATGTGTTGAGCATTTTTAATCAGATTGTGCCGGCCAATATCATGACAGCATTCGTTTCCAATTCACTGCTGAGTATTGTGGCAATTTCGCTGCCACTTGGCGTCACTCTGGTCCGCAGTTTTCATGGACCTTCGAACCTAAATCCACTGCTGGAATTTTTTTGTGAAGTGAATGAGACGCTTGTACACATGGTTCATCATATTCTCCGCTTTACACCCTTTGCGGTGTTGAGTCTTCTTGTTGGCTCATTAGCTACCTCTTTGGAAGACTCGGTGGCCGAACATCCGCTCATGCTGGTGATGCTAGTGGTGGCGGCGCTGGCTGTGACTGTGCTTGTGCACATGTTTGTGGTGGTGCCTGTAGTTTTTGTGCTGCTTACCCGTCAGAATCCATTTCGCTTCATGCTTCAGATGCTGCCAGCGTACGTGTACAGTCTTGGCTGCTCGTCATCTATGGCTACAATGCCGATGAGCCTCCAGTGCATTGAAATGTCTCGTAAGGTTTCAAGTCCTATTATGCACTTCGTCTTATCAGTGGGTACATCGCTGCATATGCCTGGCACGGCGATTTATCTAGCTGTGTTGGCGCACTTTATGGCTGATGTAGCTGGTATTGGTCATGCACAATCAGTTTCTACAATGTTGATGGCTTTTCTTGGTGCTTTCTTATGCACTGCCATGGCACCACCAATTCCAACTGGAGCACTAACGGTACTCACCGCCGTCTGGAATATTGTTTTTCCTGAGTACGCCATTCCGGACAGTCTGTATGCGCTTGTGGTAGCTTCGGACGTGTTCTTGGACCGTTTCGTGACATTATGCAATGTAAATGCACAGGCAATGCTGTGCCATATTCTAGCTGACCACATTGTTGCCAAGGACGTAGGAAATGTTCCACGTGCGCAGGTTCAGCAAGACTCTGGGGCACGGTGAAGCTGTCGTTTGCTATAATTATATCCAACACATCTGTTACAGTACCGACGCACATGTATCATGCATGGCATGTGTTTTTTTTCAACCTGCTACGTACTTCGTCAACGATAATTTGAAGTGGCCACTGAAGCCCCACTAGGTCAGTACATATTCATTTGTTGCGAATTGGCATGTAAAGTTGCTATGAATTTTTTGACCTGCAGCTTCACAACTGCCGGCCAGTCCAGTTCAGATGCCAACTTTGTACGTATACCAAAAAGTAGCATGCACTTGTCAGCCACCACCGGTGCACCCATCGCGTGCGCACCAAAAACTTAGCTGCATGTATGGCACGCATTCGAGGGAGTACGACCGAGGTATCGCTGGAGCAGCGCCTGGCGCTTTTCGGTAGCAACTCCACTGCTCTTCAGCGGCACACGATACGCCGCTTGACCACGCACAGGAGCGATTTTAATCTCTCCCAGCAGCTCTGGGCACTGCTTCAACCCCTCACCAATTTGCTGGCACTCGTTGAGGAGGTCAAATGCTGTAGAGTGAGGCACTACAGAGTCATGACGGTAGTCTGGGTGCGCACGCACATAGTGACGCATCCACGTGGCCGCCGTTGGCAACTCGCCTGTTGCTCGCTTCGCAATAAGGCACATGTATTTCTTTACAAGCGTCAATGTGGACTCATCGCACTCGATGTAGTCCAGGTAAGCGTAGACAAGAGGTATGAGACCCGGAAAGTACGAACCCTTCCCCAACATGATCTCAGCAATCGTCATCAGCTCACACGCGTCGGGGTCTTCGTGCAAAGTACACGGACTGTTTGACGGACAGTCATCGACTTCAGGTGGAGCCATGTGGCAACGAAAGTGGAATTTCTCGTCCAATACAGCGTTCACACGGTGGGCAGCCTCCATGTTGTCATTCACCTTGGACAGCGGGGTGTACAAATTCAGGTCAAACGCGAGGATGACGCGCGACACCAGAGCAATGAACACTGTAAAGGCGGCGTTCTCAAAATCGGTGAGCTGAATTTCCATAGAACGGAACTCGGTGCGCCAACCAATGTGAGGCCCCTCATCGCTTGACGGAGCTGGTGGAGGAGGTTTCCAGCGCACGGTCTGCCAGTTCGTCGATTGGATATTCTCAAAGTGGTCCGTCTCACACTCATTGTCCAGGTGCAAGCGTTGCTTGTAGATGACTAACGGATCACGGATGAACAGGTGCGAGATGTGGAGCGCGAGGAGGCGGTCCACACCAGCGTCGATTAGAGTCTTGTATGACTCCTCATCGTACGGCACCTCGACGTCGTTGTATTTGTCTGTCAACGTGTGCGGATCCTCACCTTGCTTGTGGTTGCAGATGAACGTCGAAATACCTTCGTATCGAGACTTGGGCAGACACTTGACACCGTTGCCTGCCATCTTAGCATATTTTGCCTTGGTCTCCGAATCTGTTGGAGGCGGAGCCTCTCTCAGCTCCTGAGGTGTCCGGTCATCTACCGCAGCAGATATCGTAGCCCAGCGCACATCCGTGTCAGCCAGTTGCCCCTTCAAGATGGGCGTAGCCGCCGTCAGTGCCAGCATGATAGGTGAAAGAACTCCCAAATGGTCGTACAAGTGCCTCGACTCGCCCACGTTCTTGGCCTGGAAGGTCACCTGCAGACAGCACATGCCCATGCCAAAGGCCATGGCGTCCATATGAATAAAACCGGGGTACGGCTCAGCCTTGTGGTCCAAGTTCAGCTTGCCAACTGATTGCTTCGACTCATTGTCCAGACTTTTATCTGCAGAACTTGGTGACGGAAGTGACTTGGACTCGACATTATCCTCCGAGTTTGACGTCGAGCTGGGTGACGTCAGATCTGAGCCAGACGATAAACCATTCACCACCGACAGCATGTCCCTCTTCGATTCATATTTTGGTCGGGATTTTTCTGCATTCCACGAAACTTCTGCTTGTTCCTCCTCCAGTTTTTTTTCAGTATTCACATCCCGGAAAATCGGGACACGAATATCTACTTTTTTCGTTCGACGTTGACGAATATTTCTCGTCAACGTTGCAAACCGTGGATGGGGATTGATCACGTCATCACTGATATAATCAGATTGAGCCACATTTCCATGAGGTTGACTTGATGGCACTGTACAGTCACCAACGCCCATCATTGGAAAAGCCGTTACAGACGGTGCAATTTCATCTTCATGTAACAACGCCAATAGTCTCGCACGACGAAGCCTCATATTAGCTTCAACCTTGCGTAGATCACTGGTAAAGCCTCCGTAAGGGGCACTGGGGGTGCCTTCAATCATCCAAGAACCATATTCTGGAACCCAATTGCAGCCGTCCACCCCAACCCCCGCTGCAGCTGTAGAGCTTACAACGTCACGACCATGATCCTTCGACTCGTTTTCCTTCGCTTGCAATTGCTGCAAAAGCTCATTGCCACGGAGAGCGAGACGGGCACGTTTTGACGTATTATCCATTTGGAAAACGCCGTATTCGAGCTCATCACCCCATTTGAGTTCGTCCCCTTCAATGTTTTTTACACGGTTATAAGTGTGAAGAAACTGGTCGATACCTTGGATACGAACGTGTTGGAGCCATTCTAAAGCATCAGGCCAATCTAATGGACTACCTTTGACAAGGAGACCCATAATGAATGGAAAATGTGATGCTTGATGAGGGATTCTGTGGCCGGAACAAAACGAGATGTGTTATTGATGTTTTTATTTTGGAAATTTGTATTTATGTATTAACACTGTGATATGATTTAGTACCTAATAAAAGTCCGTTTTAACGGACGAATGTACTGACGTACTCAAATTTAACGGGTACCGTGCCACTACACGTTTTTTTGCAGTATCGTAGCCATTGTCAGTTAAAGCTGTCTTTTGGTCCAGCTATCAAAACACCATACAGAACTGTATGAAGGATACTAAGAACGGATGACAAACAGCCTTTACTTACGGACGCGTGCCAGACGCGTTTCGTAAGCCACTAAGGAGGCCCGCCACCGCGAGCCTCTTTACTGGCTTACCGATCGCAAAGTAATCCTCTTCAGTGCAGTGGAACGGGCCGCTGCTATACGTTTGCCAATGTATTGAACATTCTAGTACTACCTCGGAATAGACTACTCTAATACTACCTAGCAGACTTCACCGATTACATCTAGTACCTGGCTAGATACGGGGTTCCACCTTCCATCACAGCTGTAACGGGCTATAAGTTCACGGTTCGTTAAGTATTGAATACTTAACGGCTAGGCCTGAAAGGGTACGTGGTACCTTAGGCCTGCCACTTGGGTATGGTAGATCAATGTGATCCACCCTCGTGAATGTGATATCCATGGATGGATTCACATTCAACGAGAATGACGCCAGTTGGGACTGGACGTCATGGTGACGCTTCAAACAGACGTCATCAGCGAGCTTAAATATATTTTAAACTCGCACATAAGGATACGCTTCTAAAGAGATGCGTATCCGATCTTTACATATAAACAATCAGTGGTTAGATTTATATGTAGTTACATTTTATTGAAACAGAAGTCAGTCTTGAATTTACTAACTACCTTTCACTGCGCACGAGAAGCTGGATGAGCTTTTGCGTGAAGTGAGGTACTCGTTAGTTGTTCGTTGCGCGGATCGCTCTAAGCGGCCGGCAACAGATTGGTTCGGCGCTTTAAGCGGCGGCCAACACCACCATCACTGCACGCGGAGGAAAGACGTTCTAACCGCTTCCTCACGCTGCTTGAAGGTGTATGCCCGCGTAGTACTTGGCAGCTTCTTTATGAAGCGCACGTCTACACTTGGTAGCACTAGTAGACCTTCCCACGACCCGTCTCTTTGAGCGTGCGTGCGGATTCGGATGTCCTTCAACGTGGATTGGGGTGACTTTCCTCACCTCTCCTAACATCATAGGGAGGTGGCAGAGCACTTGGTTCAGGGACTTAGTGAACAAGCCAAGGCAATCTCTTAAAAGGTCCTCCTGAGCAACATGTTGCTTTGATGGAGAGGGGTTCACAAAATTTCTGATGCGATCCCGACTTCCCACTGCCGCCCAGACAACCGACAATTGGAGGGGGTACTCCGTTTCCGTGTATAGCAATTCCTTCCTCACCTTGTGTACCCATCGGTAGGGCGGGTAGCACTCTTCTCCGTGGACAAGAGTTGATACTGAACTTGACCGTGGTTGGGATTGATTGGGGGTTCGATTACGCGGAAATCTTCACGCGATCGAGGGTTACTTGGGACAATTTATATGAGTCGCCCTGATCTCTCTTGAGATCGCCTTGTCCAAAAATATAGATACTTGATCCACTTGACCTTCTGACCACTTGACCCGTCTCGCGATCTTGTGCCTTGTCCTTTACGTGATACTGCGTCCAATCGCAGGCGACGTTTGTTTGTAAGAGGTCTTAAAATCCCTGGCCAAAAAATCCAGGGATATTACTTGTAGGTACTGTTAGCAGAAATTCTTGATCGTCGGGGGGGGCAAAAAATTTCCTACCCGGAAGAGAAGTCTGTGTGCGTAGTTAAAAGTAAAAGAAACTCTGTTTAAAGTTAACCAATCAAATACTAAAACCTACGATATTGCCTATCTGTATACCAGGGTATTCTGTGCCACGTCGTCCTTCCGAAAAAATTCAGATCTCGATATGTGGTCCACTCTAATATAGCAGCGATCTCACTCTTGGTTACGATGTCGATCATGATCGCATTTCTTGATCGTGGTCACCTTTGTAGATCGTGATCGTATTCGTCGATCGTGGTCGCCTTTGTCGATCGTGATCGTGTTCGTCGATCGTGATCGTACTTGTAGATCGTAATCGCATTCGTCGATAGTGATCGCATTCGTCGATCGTGATCGCCTTTGTCCATCGTGATCGTATCTATTGGTCATGATCGCATTTGTTGATCTGATCGCAAATGTATCCATGTTGATCTGACCAAAATTATATCCATGCCAATTGCCTTAATCGCGATCCCGATCAATCATGATCGAGCATAAAAGGTCGACATGTAGTCGGAATTTTCACTTGGGCTGTAACGATCCTAGACGATCGATAGATCGACCTGATAAAGTCAGATCGATCCCATAGTATAACCAAGTAATTCCGATGATCAATTGATCGATCCAAGAAATTTTGATCGCGCCCATAGTGTAGCTAAGTGTAATCCCATAATATCGATCCATTCCATGTATGTGATCCAAATTTTTTCAATCGACTTCACCACATTACTTAGTCGGAGCCATTAGAGACGTTTGGGATTGGACAGCACAAGAATGCGTCCGAGGCAAACAGCCAAGCCACGGCTGAGTCCATCAGTAAGCCACAGGATGAGCTTTTGCGTGAGCAAGCTTGGAACGAGGCGCTCAGCAGAACTTTTGAGACGCTCTCTGCCCGGTCTAATTAGCCAATGTCATTCGTATGGATTCTCCGAAGTTTGATGGGACTGCCCCATGTAACGGAGCTAGAGCTCCGTTACTTACACACACTATAGGTCTTACGAGGAAGCGTAAGGGATCACGCAGAACTACGTGCTAAGGCAAATTTCAACTCTAATTTTTATATTTTTATGTTTTTATACTAAGTACGAGTGGTTACCAAACGCAATGGGAACCACTCAACTACAGATCTCTATCCTATAGGTTGATAATGGGACTGATTCTTACTTACCTGCAGATAAAGATACGAATGTCTACACCCGCTATCTCGAGTGTAGCATATAACTACTTGTGTGATATTATAATTAACTATACTTAATTTGTGTAATGGTACACCCCGTTACACCCCCCTACACACATACACATTATAGCACACATTCGTGGGTGCGACAAACACAGAGAAGAATCCGACTCAATCAATCCACGGCATCATCGGACGCTTGTAGACAATCATGTCCACGAACAACACCACTATAACCATTCCTACACGGCAAACGAGGAGCGACGGCGAGCAACCCCTGGCAGCGTCCAACGTGACGCCCAACCATCAGCAAACATACGCGGAAAGTCGTCGCGTCTGGGAGCAGCGGAATCGAACGTCCGCGTGGCGATGAAGAGATGAGCAAGATGTGGCGACGATGGAGACGCACTATGGGAAACCGACATCCGTTATTTATGCCGTAAGACAAGCTTCGATGGACGAGTCTTGGACCGCATTCGTCCGCCGGTGGAACACCGAGACTTCTTTTGTCGAACTCGTACCCGTACGCGAAGAGCAACGTCGTCGTTACGGGCTCGCGGAGACCCGCGATCGGGTGTGTGAGTTGGCTTGGCCCGCGGACCGTCCTTCTTGCTTCGTACATTGGCGATAACGTTGTCATCATTGCGATCGCCATGGTGTAGCGCGGCCAAACCGCGCTCAGTGGATGTCCATTCTTGGTGATTGTCCAATTTCCGAGGAGGAGCGTACGTGGATTGGGAGGTATGAACGAGTGCGTGATGAGCACATAAGAGCGCATGGGCTGACTCGTATGGACGTGGGTGTGCGTCAAAACTCTGCACTGACCCCAAGAATTCGTTCTCGAACGGAGTAGGTTCCAACATCGCGAGCTGCTCGGACCTCGCGAGCCCGCTCGCCTCCCGCTCGTAGTCGCTAACGATATCTGGAATATCCGCGAGAAGTGTTGCGCGAGATTCCCACGTAGCTCTATTCGGGTAAAATACGAGCCAATGAACGCGATAATATCGCGTTTATATAATAGTACTATCTATACTATAAACTAGGTTTGTCTGAGCGCGGGCGGCGCCATGAATAGTCTGAGGCGGAATGTTGTAAGATTCTTTCCACAAGCCAACGTCGATTTCCAGCGCTGTCAACCAGCGGTGGTGGACCATTGCGCTGAAACGCAGCGTGAGGCACCGGAGTCTAAACGACTGGTGCCGACTCCTTCGGTCGTGGCGCAGCTCAAGGAGGTTAATCGGCGGGTGACGTTCGTCGACCATGATGCAAGTCAAACACGTGAGTTGGCTGAGGCTGCGGAGAGTCTCGAGGAGGAGGCTTCTTCTGCTATTGCTGGGTTCGCTCAGCGACTCGAGCGCATGGAGCAGTCAAATGCTGCTCTTCAACGAGACAAAGCGGAGTTGCGCGGGCTGCGCCAGCACGATCTGTCAAGACCTCCGCGTTATCGGGGACCGCGTTATGCACCTGCATCGGACCAGTCGACGACGGGAGGACCGCCGGCCAGTAACGCTTGAGACGACCGACGTAAAAAGTAGAGTGTAGACGCATCGACGAAGGGATTTCCAGTTCGTAGGCATCACCGTTTAAATTAATTACTTTGATAGGACCAATATATCGTGGTGCTAGTTTCGGTGTGCCAAGATTTGTCACTGATGCGTCGAGTATGCTTGTCGTCGAAAGTAGAACCAAATCACTATTCTTGAACTTCTCAAAGTTCTTGCGTCCAAGCGGTCTGCGGACGCCTTCTGCTTATCGATTGAAGCGGCAATGGCGTCGCGCACAAATCGCGCAATAGATTGACGATTTATCACAAAGTCGTCGACCAACGTAGAGTACGACAGACGGACTCCCAATGGAGACTAAGCTGCGCTAGCCGGAGGAGAAATATTATATGACTTAGAACTCGTTTGCTCCGCATGTAGCGAGTCGGGTAATGTATTTCTCGAGGACGCTAGTGGCACAGAG